CACTGGCAGTGACGAACCGCTGGTGCACCCAGCGGATGCCATTGCACTGCGCGGGGGAGCACAAGAAGCACCAGCGCGGACTAGCACTACAGCAGGGGCCGCTACCCTTCTTCGCGAGGCGGCAACAGAGTTCCGAACCATCATACCCACCCTGGTGGGGGAACAAGTTCCGCTTGCCGTGCGCCTCCTACAAAGTGTCGAAGCATGGCAGCAAGCGCAGTTTGGGGGACATGTGGCGATCCATGACGGCACGCAGACCACAGACGACGCGGAAGGGGGGCTACCGACTCTGGCGGACCACGACGACGGCCACCCCAACGAGCACGTGAACGACCACGTCAACGAGCCCGTCCGCCACGACGTCACCAACGAGCCCGACGGCACCGTCAATAAGCTTCGCGACCTCGAGGGGGGAGACACGACCCGGGACGAGCAGACCGCCACGGCAGCAAACGGAGGGGAGAACACTCGGCCCTTACAGCGCTTCTCGCTGTTCGGCAACGCTACTACGCCCGCCGCCAACATCCTCACGGACAGCCTGATCAACGACATCAACGAGGTGGGGGACATGCCGACTCAGGCATACGACGAGGAAGGGGCCACAGCGTCGACCATGCCTTGGGGGAATGCAGCCTTCCCATCCCTGGAGCCGGGGGGCACGATCCAGGACTTCGACGACACGCCTCCCTCTGAGTACCAACCCATGAGGGCAGACAGATCCCCAAGGAGGGACGATGATGATGGAGGGAGTCATCGCCGAAGGCGAAACCAGGGAGCACACTATGGCAGGCATGGTCCGTACTAGTAGGGGGGATTTACGGTACACAGTGCACCCTGGTCGCTCCTTGTTCGCTCTGAACTAGTTTCTTGCTCTCCGAACCAAAAGGGGGGCGACTCTAATGCCTGTAAAGCGACGTGCTGCTGATATGTAGATTATGTTTTTCGGCCCGGGCCTCAGTCTGAACATGCAGTTATGTTTTGTGTTTCGGAGCAGCCGTACTGTAGTGTTGTGAGCCCGTGCCGGAGTAGGGGGACCAAAGTAACCAACACGCATACCTCTGTTTGTTTGTGCAATGGTCGCCCTAGCCCGGGATTGAAGCCTGAAAGGCCTGCACACCGGGGGGAACCACACTTAGCCTACAACTCCTTTGCTAAACTACCGGGAAGGCAGTGTGGGGATCCCGAGGTCTCATACTCGTATAGCCGAGCCCTTGGGGGAAAATCCCTAGAGGGAGTAAGACCTCCCGCGACAAGCGGGTGTGCGCGCGCACGGGGTGATCGGCCCGGACGCTGCCGTGATCCCCAAGCCCGGAAGAGAGAGAGAAAGAGAGAGAGAGAGAGAGAGAGAGAGAGAGAGAGAGCGAGAGCGAGAGCGAGAGAGAGAGAGAGAGATAGAGAGAGAGAGCGCGAGAGAGCGAGAGAGAGAGAGAGAGCAACAGTTGGGGGCGCACAGGCGGGGGAGCAATCCCCAGCCCACAACCCTAACGAAAGAAAGAGCGCGAGAGAGATGCGCACGTGCAGGGAGAGCACTTGGACCGTGCTTCCGAAAATTAATGGTAGAGACGGAGAGTGGAGATGTGGGGCGGTGTCTGGCCGCTGGCCCTTGGAATGCAAGGGTGGTGATGCGGGCCTGATGCACTGGGGATGCCAAAGCCAATCGAGAGCCCGGCGAGGGTGCGATGGGAGGGAGGTATTGAAATTCTCAAAGAGAGGCGCAATGCCGCACACGTTGAGGGCGTCTGCGTAGTTACATGGTAGTGCAGGGACTGGTGTTCTGCAACCTTTCAAGCCCACTCCCGCAAGATCCCAGGAAGCTCCTGTACAATCGCACGGTGGTGGACGTTGTGGCTCGGCCAATTGACAAGTTGTCGTCGCTAAATGAGCTAGTGTCCCCACCGTCTTCACTGATGGCATAGTGTCAGGACCTGAAACTGGTTTTTGAAGCCGCTGGCTCCCTCGGGCATGGCAAAAATCGCCTACATGCCCTAAGTGGACGTTGCAGCTTCAGCCAAAAGCCAACAAAGCCATGAGGCAGCAGGCTCCTACAAGGGGCATGAGATACTGGAGCAGTTCATCCGGCGATGCAACCACTACGCGGCTCCCACAAATTGCGAGTCAGGGAGGGCAGAGTGCAGGATGTCGTCTGCAGTCCAAAGGGCTTTCTGTGGTGGGAGGCTGCCTTTGAAACGTCAGTGGCTTCAGAGTAGGAAACCTTGTTGGAGCAATCTCGACACATCTCGACACTTGCGACCCTGTTATTGATGAGCCGGCAGGGTTGAAGCTGGGTCAGAAACACCGAGGAGTGGAATCTGGTGAAGTACCACATGGCGCAGAATGCCGGCAGAAGAATGATGACACCCCTTGGTGATGCACTTCTTCGAGGCTTCCGGTAGCTGCATGCCTGTCGGCATAGCTATGTTTTCAGGCGCAGACCGTGCACATGTGTAGCTTTTGACCGTGCGCTCCAACAGCAAGGTCAGCTTTCAGCATGGGGACTCTGCACAGGGTGAGTGAGTTGCATCGCCTACGGTGTGGCAGTTCCGTAGCCAACCGGTCTGTTCCCTGGACCGGACTCTTCGCCGCAGAAATAGGTGGGGACTTCTGCTCGGCGACTTCAGAACGCAGATTCTCTTTGGAATGACTCCAAGTTTAAGCTTCTGAAATATTGTGCCATGCAGAAGGCCTTTAGACTTCTTCGCAGCCTTTGAGCTTCATCCAGAAGCAGCAAGCAAAAAAACGTAAAGCGAGCTGTTATGATCATGTGCTAGGCTGGGAGAGAGGCAATGAGTACAACCTCGACAAGGACTGTCACCGAAACTCGGCCTAGAAGTTGAGTGCGAAAGCGGTGACACGTCCACAAGAGGTAGAATTCTCATGGAGCGCGGTAGCTGCAGCTTTCAGCCGATGTAGCAGTGGACTGCCAGAAGAGCTCTATACATGAGGCCTGTGGAGGGACGTGCTAAGAGAGAAGATGGATGAGCACGGCACCCGGTTCACTGCCTTTCGCTCGTAGAGTTGGGTTGGCCGGCATGCCTGGTGCGGGAGAGCTTTGGTCGCAAGTCCAGGCACTGGGGCATCTCCTCGTGGCATACATTGATGCATCTTTCAGATGAGATGCACGACAAGGCCACTCTTTTCTTTGCTGGACCATTTGCTATTGCATGAAGGGACAAGACAAGGGACCATGAGTGGCTGCAGGTGCTCCAATGCTGCAGCGACAAGCTGACCGACCGGGACAAGAAGCTGCTGACGAAGACCAAGCGCATCAGCGAAGGACGACAAGAGCTCCCAGGGGTCAGGGAGTAGCTGAGTAGCCGGCGCCGAGAGAGGCTGAGAGAGAAAGCTAGGACCTTGAACCCTAAACCCTAAGTGCACATCAGATGGTTGTTTGTGCCTTGAGGAGACTGGGAGAGGAAACGCCACCCCGGCCTGAACTTCAACCGCTTGGGCGAGATTGCAGCTGAAGCTCAGCAGACAGTGGCAGACAGGTTCATAATCTTATCCGCTCCCATGGTATCAACACGCACCATATCTGTATAGTTATATACATATAAATATATATATATATAGAGAGAGAGAGAGAGAGAGAGAGTGAATATGTATACTATCCCGAAGTCCTGCGACAATTGTAGCGATAACATAGCCCGAGATCCTATTCCAGTGCTCCTGTGGCCCTAGCTTTCGACTTTCTTGTTCTGTTCCCGTGCTGGCAATGACAGCCCCTGTGATAAACACCCCTCCATAGCCATCCAAGCACCTGAGCGCTCTCAAGTTCTGCTTGCCGGATTGGCCTATGTGTTAAGTTTGAAGCGGAATTCAATCAGCGATTCCTGTGCGGAGTTTCATTCAGGGGGTCACATCGGCAGGTACAGGTGCACCGCATGCCTCAAAATGAAGCACATTCTCAAGCGCTTCACAGCTGTGTACGGTGACCTGGTGTCCAAGTAGTGTGACGGCACGTTCTTCACTTAGGACATCGTTGACCACATGCCCCTTGGCGGCTGACAGCTTCATCCCCTTAAGGTCTGTGAGGACGAAATGTATCGGTGTTCTTTGCACGGGCTTGAACAGAGCAGCATTGCCTGCCGCTCTGATGTTTTCTTTGGAGATGTTTACCCTTTTTGAACTTCCTTGGGCAGTGCCCCTTGGCGAAACTCTTTTGGCATGTGTGGTTCCGCACCCCGTCGACACCGATCAAAGTCGCGAGGCATCAAAGAAAATGAGGCACTGAAGCCGCGTTCCAGCCGGCGTATCGTCAAAATTCGCGAGTGAACTCGGAGATCCCAAGTTGCAACGACTGGGAGGAGCCTCCAGTTTAGCTTAGATGGTCGCAAGGCGTTGCGCAGCCCCACCAACGCTTCCTATCGGCATGTAACAGGTGATAATTGATGTGCGAGACACGTGAGGCCAAGTGCGTGCAAGACTCCGACAAGCTAGACGACAATAACAACTCAGTGCCAGTGCACTGATTTTGCCCGTTTTGGCACTCACCGTGTGGTTGATTCTGTCGTGCATGTGATGCTGCTGGCGGGAAAGATCGCAGAGCCACTGTCCGAACAGAAGCGGTCGGACTCCAGTGCCTCAAACGGCTCAACAACAACGTGCCGGACATCTCTGCCCAGTGATCCTGAATTTGATTCAGCCCGAAGCTCCGCAGCGTTGAAGTCATGAAGAAATCCCGGCCCCTCAGAAGTCCGAAAGCCAAGGTTTGAGCATTGGGACTTCTCGGCCCAGCTCCAGGGGCTCATGAAGATCCTGGGTTGCAGAACTTAAGACTGGACGAAGGGCTGGCAATGCTTCCCTTCATGAGGTGCTGCGGATGGGGTTTAGTTTGGGTCTAGCTTGTTCTCTGGTAGCCGACTGATGTCTAGCTTGACTTAGTGAGTCTACGACAGCTAACCCAGGCTATGAGATTGTGTAGCCTCGAGCCAAACACGAAAGCGCATTACTGCCCTTGTGTCGGACGGCGCATTCTGCCGCTGGTGACTTGAAAGAGTTACATGTTTGTGGTTGAATGCATCTTTTTACAGGTAGGACGCCCGGGCAGAGGAGACGGAGCATACTTTGGGTTCCGCTTCCAGATTTGTGGGTATAGCTTCGCCTTTCGCAGCGCGGGCAGAATATCCAAGCCCCCAAGGAACGACTACCGACCTCCCGACAGCATCAAGCACCTCTTCCCACGGCATGTGGCGAAGTGGCAAGAGAAGCTCATCAAGGCGCCGGAACGCTGGTCTTGGGAAACTCCACTGTCAGTGACCCAGCCATTGTGGTAGCCCAGCCTAGCGGATTGCAAAGCGCCCCGCCGCCCATTATTGCCGGCAGGACAACATCCCGGACGCAGAGATGTCCAGGTTTGAGGAGATCAGGCAGTTCTTCTTCCTGTATGAAACCACAGGAAGCAACATGATGCTTGTCTGAAGATATAAATGCGGGACCGTGCAATACCGTGCAGGCTGCAGAGCCAGGTGCGATTGTAGAGCATGGCAGTGCTTCCAACTGCTGACCCGACGCCTTGCTGTCTCAGGACACACTGCAGTTTGATGGGTGTGAGACCTGGCTTGCTCTGCTTGTGTTGGCTTGGATTCGGATCGTGCCGCATGGACGACCGGTACCATGCGCATGCAACAAGCCTGAGGTGCCTCCGATCTCTTTACGACCACTGGAAAGTGGTACTTCCCAGACGCTCCGGAAGTGCAGAATCAGCTCTTTGAGAACGTCGCCTGGCTCTTTGACAGGACATCATCATCTTGACATCAGCTTTCAAAGTTCGCAATCGTTACCGCAACGCGCGTGTGCTGAAAACAGCACGTGAGTTTTCAGCTGGAGAGGAACATCCATCACTACATCTCCGAGCGGCAGACTGCCAAATTCCCGTTCATCGAAGACTTCGATATCCAGGTGGTCTTGTTCAGAAACTCATCGCCGACGGCAGCATCCAAGACACATCTGACTTAGAATTCAATACATGGTCACGATTGTTGGGATTTCAGGCATTGCGACGGTTACTCGCTCTGCCACATCAAAATAAAAGAAGACCTGCAGCGAGCCGTCAACTTGGTCATGATGTTCCGAGAACCAGAGCATGTGCGCTGCAGCCCATCCTCAAAAAAGGGTCAACACTGTGGCGGCTAAGGCTTGGGCTTCGGATTCAGGGCAGATTTTGTGAGACAAGACAGCCATCCACACCTCATACTCATCTCCTGTAGTCGGGAAGAAATTCTTGGACTCCCTCCGCACTGCATTCAAGTCTGCCAGGCAGCAAAAGACTATCGGCCCATTCCACCAGGGCGTGAGTGGGCGGATCCGCCGGATGTCGCTGGGCCGTTGTGAGGGTAGATTGCAGGGTCCGGGCTCCACTGCTGCTGCGACAAGAGCGAGAGCCATCCAAGCTGTGCGTGCCCCGGAACCGGACTATGCTCCTTCATGCCGGGCCCGCAAGGATCTCATCATGTTCAAGCCGACGCGGTATGGCCCCGAGCCGTTTGACGTGCACGGAGACACGCAACTGCATTTGGCTGCAATCTAGGTGTCAATGGTTGAATGCTGAACCTAGACCTAAAGTTCATCCGACTTTCCCACGAGTTGTGATCTGCTCCGGTTCGGGACAAGAAAGGAGGTGTGATTCGCACTGGGCATGCAGCATGACAGGAGAAAGCCACTTGTGTTTCTTTCCCAGGACCCGGGCTCCATGATGAAGTACCGAGCGCTCGCCATCCACATGCTGTACCCTCACATCGACGAGCTCTTCTGCGCCCTGCCGACATCTTTGCCGTTTTCGCTGCCTCGGACAGCACATGCACAAGAAGCATTGCGATGCAGAATCTTTGCTTCCGGGTTTGCGTGAGGCCTCGTGTACTCTGCATCTGGCTTCAACAAGGGCAAAGAGTTGGTGAAGTCGTCTTTCCACCTGGATGCTCGGCTTCGGTGCCCTTAGGCTTGTGTTCCTGATCATGTCAGTTGATGTTTACTACGGAGGCCCAGGCAATGCAGAAACAGAAGTGCTGCCAGTAACAGCACTCCTCACATCCAGACCCATGGGCACGTGACAGCCGTTTGCTTGCTCATATACACATACATAGCCAGAGTGCCTCATACATACATACATACGTACATAAACACCTCTTCACTCGTACGTACGGTTGCGGGCGTACATGCAATGCATGCCATACATGCCATACATGCCGTGCATATGCATGCACGTTCTACATGCGTAGATCACATCCTTCGGTCCATACACACACATGCATCCATGCATACATGCATACAGACAGACGTACACAACTTACACGAAGCATCGGACCCTCAAAATGCACTTCTTCAGGCTTGGGGCACTTACAGACCTATACAGAATATGTGTATCATAGCGTGTGTGTATATAATTATTTAAATCAATAAATAGAAATATATATATATATATATATATATATAGATAGCACAGGCAAGTCATTCCTCTTGATGCAATGCTTTAGGTACGGTTGCATGCTTTTTTACAGTTGTTTTAACCGTTTGCTGTTAGCTTAAAGATTGCATGCTGTGTTGCCCAAGCTATGCTATGCCATGGTGTGTTACGTTATCACATTCTATTCAGTTCTGTGTCGTGTTATGTTGCTGTTGCAACCCACGTACGTACGTAGTTATGTGTGTATGGCTGTATGTTTGGATACAAACAGAGCTATCTGTCAGGGGCGTATCGATTGAAGGCACGACTCCTTCTCGGCTTGTTTGCATTGCGTGTCTTTGCTGCTGGCATCCGTGAGAGCCCAGCTGTAAAAGATAGGAGATATAGAGGTAGGTAGATTGACAGCCAGACAGACAGACAGATAGGGTGCGCAACACAGTGCAGCGCGATAGGACACAGCACAACATGGCACAGCACGAGGCAACACAACCCAATGCCTTACAACGGAAGACAGCGCAAGACAATGCAATGCAGTGCCACACATACAAATCGAGATGTATTCTTTCGCATGTGTCAATATTTATGCCCATTTGCTTGTTCTATGTATGTATGCTCCTGTTCACCTATTGCATATGCACACCCACACGTCTTGCAAATCCTCTTCGGATATCTCTGCAAGATCCATGCCTCAGCGAACAAAGGTGTGGCCGCAGTTGGTTGTCGATCCTGACCGAGCCAAAGTCATTCGTGCCCGGTCTGTTCAGAGTTCTCAGATCGGACTTCTGCCTGTTCCTTCCTGTCGTCGGTAGCCTCATTCGGTAGTCAGCTTTGTGTGTGTCTGTCAGAAAAATTCTCCGTTGATTCGCTTGTACACAGTGGATGACCTCAGCAAGAATCCCGCCGCTGCTTAGTCAAACATGTCAATCTTTGATGTTCCGAGGCTATGTCACATTGGGCGTCTTCAAGAACGAAACCAACAAGGAAGGCGCAGCCGGGTTCACAGATTTTGACAGCTGGTAGGAGGCTATCGCATGTGCAGGTTCTGACATCCACAAGATGCAGCAGAAACTGATGGAGATGGATCCCAGCAACGAGTGGGAGAACCTCGGCTAAATGAGGCCTTGGCCTGAACATGAGCAGAGCTTCAGGGTCCGAGGACGTCAGAAGTTCAAACCAAGGGTGCAGATTTGTTGGTGCAGACCGCACGGCTTTGCCTGCGAGGTTGGTTTTCGACAGCACCACCATCAATGCCAGAAACGGCCTGCGGCTGCCATACTCTGACAAAGCCTCCATGGTCGTCAAAGATCCGGACCTTTCGGGAAGCTGCATGTCGCCACGATATGATTTTCGGAGCAACACATCTCTCCATAGTCTCTCAGCGAACAAGTACAGTAACCACTTGAAGCTCACAAGCAGCATGTGGTGCCGCACCTGACGTGGACTCAGCCTCTGACCTGCGGCAGGAAGACAAGGCGAGGATTAAGCGAGGAGAGCTGTCGAAGAATTCAGCTTTCAAGGCCAGGGGCGTCTTGCGTTCGGTTTGTGAGTGCCATTTTTACTGGTTGTCACCAGAGCAGGGTGTGGCATGGTGTGGCATCCGCGTTGCAGGTCCGCGTCGTGGAAGGGCGGCCGTCGAAAGCGGTGGGGCGGATCAACTTCAAGTTCGCAAAGGCTCGGAAGATTCGGAAGCTTTCCTTTTGAGGGCAGAGCTCAGGGTCTGAGGCTGTAGCTTTGAACGCCGGGCCTTAGCCGACGAACTGCAACAGGCCCTGCAAATCCCTGCAACCAGGGTCTGACAGCCTTGACCTGTGGTTGGGACTTGAAGAATTCAGGCATTGATTCAGGAGCTGTCCGGGCCTCAGCCCCTCTTCATCTCACTACCCAATCCATTGCAGGATGACGATGGCGTAGATCGGCTAGTGGAGGCAGCCTGGGTCCAGGACACTGATGGGCCGGGGGCAGGGCTTGACTGTGATTCGATGACTGCTGCATGACAGGACGAACAGTCGATGGAGCGATCGGAGCACCGTGGCACAGACAGCCGGTGAAGGGGCTCCCATGCTTAGTCGCCCCACCTCCCATCATATCATCTCATACAGATAACCACAAGACTTCCTCCCTAGACTCGAGACGGCACTGGCCTTGAAGGCCCCAACAAAGCCGAGTCTTGAGTCTGAGGTGGATTCGTTTGGGCTCCTGCCGCCTTGACCAGGGCGACCTGGAGTCGACCAGGCGCATCTGCAAAAGGGCCCCCCCGTCTTCCTCTGCAAAGAGCTTTCAACATGGATAATGCCGGAGCTTCCCGAAGCGCTACAGCACTCAATCGGGCCATGCTCATGCTCCCCTGAAGCCGTATCGCAAGGCATATCTAGACCCTTGAAGCCTTTTTGTCCGCGCAGCAGTTGATGACTTGCTAACGTGGACTTGCCTTGTGCTGCAGTCTACACACGCAGAGCTTGCGACGGTGATGATGATGATGATGATCATGATGATGTATACTTGTTGCATGATCTCAGTGGGCTTCACAACCTCCACAGACAAGCGAGAGACAACCGAGAGTCCAGCCGGAACGACTGTAGCTTACGGGGTCACGACCGACTCCGCACAGATGTTATGCCAAGTCGGCCACCAAAATGGATCGTTTCATGTCAGAGTCTCACAGTGTCGCCAGGATGACGCCTTGGCAGCTGGGCCCGGACCGGCAGGGTGTAGTGGTCGCTGGTTACGGTACGAGTTGTTCAAGCAAGCGGCGGCAAACGAGGTTCTGGTTGCTTGTTCAGCTAGTCCCGTTGCGTCCTGCGCTGGCGAGGACGTCATGGAGCTGTTGCCAAAAAAGCCAGGCCATTGTGAGCTCGTGTCGCGTTCGGAAAGGGGCTGGTACTACAAGTCATCAGACATTGTCCGCAAGCTTCACGGTTCTTGATCCGTCATTCATCATAAGTGCCACAAGCTGTGTCGTTTATCAACGTTTCGCCCGCGTGGGCACGCGGAATGCCTTAGGCGAAAAGTACTACCGCGAGTCCGAGGACGAGTCAGGCTTGCCAATTCTGCAGTGAAGCGGACTTGGTTGCGTCGTGGAACATCTGCTTAGCTGTAGGAAGGTGGATAGTGGCTGTACGCCTCCCCACCCCGACTCATTTGAGAAAAGGCAGCGGCAAGTCCTGCGAGGAATCTTCAAAACTCATGTGCCGTACCCGAACATCCTGCGCTGTTCGTGCCTGAGCCGCATGTGGACTCCAAGTTGCTGAGCCTGTACACCATCTACACCCAGCCCTTCCGGTCTTGAAGGCTTTCAATTTCAATCCCAAAAGCGAACGCTGTTTGCTTGAGGGGGTTTCTGAGGATCGGGTCAGTTGGCATCGGCGGAAGACCGTTTGCCCAGCACATGACGTAATGCCAAACGCTCGCCATGAACAGCTGCATGTTTCAGCATCCCCGAGCGGCATGATGCAAATCCAGGCTCTCGGTCAAGCATTTCGTTGCCAAGTTTGACGAGCAGCTTTACGAGGAGATGGAAGCATCCCAACTTGCATTACTACAGCTGCTGCACAACCCCCTGCCAAGTCCACAAACTTCGACTGTCCCGCACGGACTGTGCCCATGAAAACCGAAAGACACAGAAACGAATGTGGGACCAGAAGGGTAGATAAGACCTTCCTGCAAGGATCAAGGGACTCAGTAAGGAACTTGTGAGTAAAGTTGAGATTTTGCGTCGTTCCCGAGCTGAGCGTCTGAACTGAGGCGCTTCACGGAGAGGGTGAGTTCGATCTGCGACAACGCGCCTTGCCTGTGCTCCCAAAAGCTTTCTCTGCTTGTCAAATTATTAAGACCACTTTTTGACCGAATGGATGGAATGTTTTGAAGACGGCTTTGGCAGGAATCGCAGGCCAATGGATCTCTATCACGGAAGACCAGGCAGGGACTTCGGAGACTCTTGGGTCCGGTCCTTCTCTGGTTCTGTCGATTTTCAAGATGCAGCTGTTGTTGCATCGTTACATGTCTACCGTCTACTGTATATCCAGAATATTCCAGAATCTAGATACTGTTCCGGCGCCGATTCCGGCTGCTCATGAACAGCAGAGGAGGTTACTTCTGGAAGTCGAACATCTTGATGCAAGCAAGGCGCTTTGGCGGGCTCCAGCTGCGCGGCAGTTCGCCAACAAGTTCCCGGACCCCCGCGAGGGGCATTGCACAAAGCAGACGCATCGGTTTGCTGGCCGCTTCCTGTTGTAGGCAGCTCTGCTCCCTCCTTACGAAGGACTGGTACTGGGGCATGAACTCCAAACAGTGGCTTGGCGTCAAGTGTGCAAGATCCTGCCAGCTGCAAAGGCTCAGCAAGAGCAGGAAGCCCAATCTGGGTGGGACTGCTGCTGATGGTGATGATGATTGTAAGCCGAGAATGTACTAGAGTAGGAGAGTAGGACAGTAGGACGTAATAGAACACGACACATGGGATGCTGGCAGACTAACGCCGGCAGAGCCCAGGCTTCTCCGCCCTGCTGAGATGACTTACCTCCAGCACAAGGGGAAGTTGATGCTGCACGGCTTCAGTGAAGGTTGCCCTTCGACATTTGTGGGGGGCTGAAGGCAAAAGGCAGAAGAGGTACAGAAATGAAGAAACCCTCTAGCCCTCGTCTTCTTTAACTTCGTCCTCTGCGTAGGAATACAGAACCCAGACACCCTCCGCCCTCACCGAGCAGCAAAGCCACCGAAATGCTCCTGCGCCCAGTGTCGATGGCCCTGATGATGTTCGGACGGCGCTCGTCCGTGTTTTGAAGCTTCTTGGCGCATCGAAGAGGTGACCATCTGAACATAGGTTCTTTCGGAGTGCTCGGAGGGAAGGCTCTTGCAATGGCTGTGCTGGAGAACTGCTGGATAACCATGCGAAATACCCTTCAACAAGCAGGCCATTTCGTAAACCTGCAGGAAGGAGGAGTGAGCAGTAAGATCTCTGGTTGGTCGGAGTCGGAAAACTTCATCGACAGGAGTTCGCCAGAAGTAACGCGGTCAATAGCACGCGCCGAGGTTGTGCCGAACCGAGCTGGACGACAATCCGATCATGCCCCTCACCCGGACACTACAAGTGGTTTTCAGAATCGCCTATATAGTGCACAGTAAAGTATATTAGAATGTGATACAACATACATATGTATACATATATACACACACACACACATATATATATATATATAGATAGATATAGAGATAGAGTAGAGACTGAGAGCCGAGGCCCGTCTTCAACCCGGAGAAGATGGACAGATTCCCCGACTTGCCAGCCGCTGTATCAGCCGCTGGTTTCGCCAGGGTTTTGGCCGAGGCTCTGGTAAGTGCCGAGTCTCACAGCCCAAGCTTCCAATTCATTGCCGTAGCTGCAGGCGTCGGTGCAGAATGGAGCCGAAGCGCATCGACCTGTCTGAAGTCTGAACTTCTGAATCTCGTTGGGATCGCAGCGTGGAGGAGTCTCGGAGTCCAGGACGTGAAGGGCCGCGTGGTCGCCGGGACCTGCCCCAAGGGCAGGTCGCCTCGACTGTTAGATTCGTTAGATGTCAGCCGGTGGCTGAGGCCAGCGCTTGACAAATTGGCACTTAAAAAAGACTCTCCCTCAGAGCTTGCACCACGCGAGTTTCTTCAGCATGTATAGGCACGCAGACGTGAACGCGTGTCCATGCGAGACATCCCTGATGCCGATGCCTCGTGCAAAGGCCCAGTTTGCACGGGAGAAGCCGCAAGCTGAGACGCCAGATCCAAGGTTGATGCCGGAAGTGTTGCAGACATCAACAAAGTACAAGTAGAGCCCACAGGCCCGGTGCTGCTTTCCGAATCAGAGTATACCCGCGGCGTAACAGGGAGAGTCGTCGCCCCAAAGCTCCAAGCCTTGCTTTGGCGGTCTCAGGTTCGAATGCCGGAAGCCAGCCTCTTTTTTGCAGTGGGTAGAGAATAAGTCTTCCGAGTCAAGATGAATCTGAGTTGGTCGGTCTGCTTCGTGAAGATCAGGGGGCAGTTCGGAGGCAGAGACAATCGAAGTCTAACAGCAAGTTGATGAGAGTTTTTGTTTTGCCGTGCATGGAGGAGCATCTTAATACAAAAGTGGCAGGGCAAGCAGAAGCGTCCAAGTTCATGCTCCTACTTGTTTTGGTGAGATAGCTGGCAACTCTATCCTTGGAGACTGGCCCTTGGCCCTGACAGTTCTTGATCAAGGAACGCAGGACCCTTTGGTCAAGGACACAGAAGCAAACCCAATGCACGCAGTTAGGCACTGACAACACAAGTATTCAGCTCGTGCGTGAGGCTGGAGTGGTAGTGGAGGATTCCTGTTTGTGTTGTGTTTGGGCCGCGAGAGCGCAGGCAGAGGTATGTGCCTGGCACATGTTGGCACGGTCTGATGCTTGAGGGGCTGCTTACTGCAGTGTTTCATGAGGGGCCTGAAGGGCTGCACCTCATGCGTTGCATAGCGCTGCCAGACCCTTTGGATGCGACGGGATATATACACACATACATACGAGAGAGAGAGAGAGAGAGAGAGAGAGAGAGAGAGAGAGAGAGAGAGAGAGAGAGAGAGAGAGAGAGAGAGGATAATGTGGGTTCACGGAGTCGCTCGAGGCAACGTGCCAGTCAACCCACCTCGAAAGGGGCCGCGGAGACCTACAGACGAGAACCACCGGAGGTCGGCCTCCGGGCCAGGGCGCATGCTTGCATGTGCCCAAACCCCTTCGCAAGCAAGCAAGGATAATAAGTACAGGGGGGATCTGCCAGAGCAAGCTAGCACCTCGTTCAAGCTGCGGGGTTTTTTCACCCAGAGACAAGAAGCAGTGCGCACTCGTGCGCGGGAGGGGGCTTTGCTTCCTCTTTGGCTGCAAGCAAGCATGTGAGAGAGAGAGAGAGAGTGTCAAAGCCCCGAGACCTTGACCGGTCCTCAAGCCCAGGAGAGAGAGAGAGAGAGAGAGAGAGAGTGAGAGAAAGAGAGAGAGAGAGAGAGAGACACTGCGTTTGAGAGCCGCTCGCGCGCAGGGGTGGTAGGGTTCGCCCCTACACCCCAACACGCCCTAGCAAGCAAGCAAGAGAGAGAGAGAGAGAGAGAGAGAGAGAGCGGGCAGTTGTGACCTCCGGGCCATTTTTCCGAAGCTATTCCAAGGAAGGCTACTACCACCTTATCGCCGAGCTCCGGAAGTCTAGCGTGCCCCTGGGAGGCGCAGTCAGGGCAAAGGGGTCGAGGCTCAGTTAGAGGCATGAGGTTTTCATGTGGCCCAGAGTCAGAAGCGTGGATCGACCGATGTCGACGCACGTGTGTGAATGAGTGAATGAACGAAGGAAGGAATGGATGGATGGAAAGACATGAAGTGCAGTGCAAGGAAACCAACGAATGATCGAAGGAACAAACTATTGTGTGTGGGTTAGTAGTGTTTGTGTGATGAAGTGGGCATGGTCTGGTATGACAGCATATTTATCTGACCGTCGGTCTGTCTGTTGCCAGGTAGGTAGGTGGGCAAGCAGGCAGGCAGGTAAGTATAGTATGTACGCATGAGTGCTTTGCCCCTCCGATAGAGCTGAAGCGTGATAATGCTGAACTACAGTGCTTGTATTTGCTTGTTAATGTAGAATTCAAGTTAATGGGCCTGAAGTTGGTATCACTGCTCAGAAGGCCGAGAACCTCGCCTGACTTGTTTGAGCGAGAGCGCCAAACGACGGTAGGCATGCATGTAAGATTGTAGGTTTTAACTATATGACATATGTTTGTATACATATATATATATATATATATATATATAATATATATATATATATATATATATATGTATGTATTCTGTATGGACGTATGTAAGTACGTACATAGTGTGTAAGTAGGTAGGTCAGTAGTGGAGTGGATGGATTGGATTGGATTGATGGATGGATGGATGGATGGATGGATGGATGCTGTCCGTATTTGATTCTTGATCAGTATATTTGCTGATTTATTTGTTCATTTGCTAACTCCTAGTTACACACACAAACATTCATCAACGCGTGTTTAGTTTAGATGCACATGAGACAGACGATCCACAAGTCCAGACTCGACCTGCCCATCAGTATCGGGCAGTAAGAGCATGGCACATCCACTTGGTAGTTTCTGTAAACTAGATGTCTGCAGGACTGGGCGAGAAATTCCAGCCGCCGCCGTCCTGAGGCCGCAAAGAGGGACAACGTTGCGCATTCCCGCCGACGACCCCTGCAGCAGAACACGCGCGCTTCCTTGGATGTCCAATCGTCCCACAGATCTTGCCTCTGTTGCGGTTCATTTAACACGGAATAGTACCATGACCGTGTGCTGGTGAGGCTTGGTCGTATCCATTAATATAGTCACCAGGTCAGGGCATCCATTCCCAACTCCCAACAGGCAGCGTTGATCGGTTAATCTCTATGCGTTGACTTGGCCTCACCGATGCATTGAAGCCCGCTGAGCGCAGGGACTGCTACTTGGCTTGCGGTGCCCAGTACTTATGCAGGTGCTGGTCACCGAGATGAATCCGGAAGCTGGGTTTTAGCACTCAACGTTTCACCCGATGCTTCACCATGCTGAGCCCTGCGTGGTGCTCTCTTAACCCAAGAAGCTTGTTAGGTTTCATGCTCGTGGCTGTACAGACCACTCTGCACCAAAAGGTGGAGAGGGCTGAAGTCATGGACAGCTGGAGGGAACGATGCCGGCCTTCGGGATTTGTTGTATAATTACACCGCGACTCTTTGTGGAGGTTGTTGTGCTTCATGGGTCTTCCAGTCAATGCTCTCATCGTGCTCTGCGCGTCGCGCTGTTCCCCAACAGATTCTGCACAGTGTTCCAGCAAGGTCCGGTAAGTGGCTGAGGGTTGTCTTTCGCTTGCGGTTTTCGCGCATGCTGTGGTGTCAGCAGCTTTAACTTTTCTTGGGTACCCTCGCTCTCCGAATGGTTAGCCGAGTCACTCTGGCTTTTGAATTGGAGGGCTAGTTTTTGCTCACGCCGCGGCCGGCAAGCTCAAGATTTCGTAGAGCAACCACCCGCTGGAAGAGTCCCGGCTGATCCGGCCTTACTTCACAGACACGCACATGCAACGGAATAAAGGTTTTTCGATCGAAAGAAGATCCTTACACAGTTCTGTGCTTTCTGTTGCCCAGGACTGTGAGCGGGCCAGGCTCGAAACGATGTCCCAAAGCTTTGGGACCATGCTTTTGATCTACGGCCCCGCTCTCAGGGTTCTCGGAGTCTCGCTTTTAACCGCTGCTTAGCGCTACAAGTAGGGGGCCTTAGAGCCAGACTCCCTGCCTTTTTTTATCCCAGCTGAACTCAACGGCTTAAGGCGCCTTCCTTGCCATATGTGGCACGGCCGGGGCAGCCCTGCACAGCCACCTGGCTGAGAGCATGGAAGGTTTAGCCGTTTAGCCGCCCTGATCATTCGCGTGATGACACCTGCCCACCGCAGAAGCTCCCAGCCGATCAGCGGACCAAGGCTGGGAGAAGAAGGCGATGCACTCCATGTACGCAGGCCCCGAACGGCTATGTTCTCCAGTGTTCCAGTTCAGGGGCACCCGATGCCACGGTTCAAGGTCGCCTTATGACAGGAATAGTTACAGTACTGGCGGCTGGCTAATGTCCGTTAAGTAATGTGTTTCCACAGGGCCACCACGAGTTGATGGTGGTTTGCAGGTCTCGCACCAGCGTGTTGTTACGCGTTGTTACTGCAGCAAGTTAGGTCCGGTCTGTTTGGAGCGATTTGGCTCTCAACTTATGTTGAGCTGTAGCCGTAGCCAAAGGCTTCTGGACGACCTGGGATCTTGGCAATGTGAGGCCTCGGCGGTTTTGTCTCGATGGCTGTGTGCGGCGTCCTTGCTGCCACCGAGGCGAAGGCACGCTCGGGTCGGTTTAGGCGGAATGCACTTGTTGCCCGACGGCTGAGACAGGATTGCTGCGGAGCGTACATGCCGGGGCAAGCCAGTTCAAACTGCGCTTCCGCAGCTGTTGCCTTGGGATCGAGAAATTCAGCGCCAAAGCTGCGCCCAGACATCAACAGGGCATCAAGCGACACTGCGGTGATATTCAAGCTGCCTTCAGAACTGAAATTCGAGCAACCACCACGTAATCCGAAACTTTGGCATGGACCCTCTTGAGCGGCTACACCACACCTTCGACCCCAGCATCGAATTTTCAGCTACTCGGTGTTCGCGGTGTTGCGGATGAGCTTTAGTCGAGATCTGTTGAAGGCTCACCCGGTTGCAGCCTGATCCTCTGTAACATATAGCCGGCGAAACTCTCGCTTGGAGCATCATTGCGGTGGACCATGGCCATCCTCCGTGAGCTTGGTCCAGCCGGGGCAGGGATCCAAGTCTGAAGGGGGCAGGTGAGGCTAGGGTTTCGCTGCCGTTTGCAAGCTTCGGCTCTGCACGAGTCTTGTTGCATGAGCAGCCCTGGGCATCTCAGAATCATATCCCTGTCGGCCCGGAAGTCCTGAGACACGAACACAAGAGCATGTGCTGTCGCGAGGGATGTCCTGAAAAAGCCCTCGACGATTCTTCTTTAGTGGATTCTCAGGTTTTCATGCTTTTTGCATAGCAAGAGAGTCGTATGGAATCGCCTGGCTTTCCCAGCCTTCCTTGCAAAGCTTCTCTGCTGAGGACCTGGTGCCTGGGCTGCCAACTCGGCCTGTGAGACCTCATGCGTTAAGCCACCCGCCTTTCTGACACAGGCTTTGGACATGTCTTGGGTCGCGCTGTGAACCTGGCCGCTGAACTGAGGGTAATCTTTGATGCCATCCCTCAAAGAACCCTGCTGCTCGACAGTATTCCCAAAAGTGAAGAATGTAACGGTGCCATCGTTCCTGCAAAACGGCAATGTTAGACAACCTTCGCACAACACGGTTTAGGGTTTAGGGTTTAGGGGCTTCTTGGCGTTTGGCAACTGTTAAGCACTCTTTGGCCTTCGTTTCGGCAAGGCCCGGAAGGCAGTGAAGTCACAGTCTGCACCCTCTTGAGAGTTCAGAAACTAAAGGACCCAAATGCAGTAGGATCATTTGGAGGACCCTACACACATGAGGTACCCCTTGAGCTTGAGTGTTGAGCGTCACACCCGGGCCTGGCTGTTGCGCCGTAGTCATCGGGCCAGGACTAGGACGAGCACCGTATTGAGTACCCTCGCTATCAGAGTGCTAGTTTACCATTGTCGGTACCATCTTACCATTAGCGTGCTATCAGAATGCCAGCTGCCAGTTTGACAAAGACTCCCCCTAATTCAAGGGAATCCAAAGTAAACGTATTGACAGTCCCAGGCTTCCAGGCCATCTCCGTGTCTCGGCTCCGGGGTTCTGCTTTGCACTCTGTGTCTGATTCTGATCTAAGCATAATACAGGGTTGGGGGATGTAAGGTTTGACGGATTTAAGGTTCAAGGGATGCGGGGTTAAGGAGCTTAAAGGTTCAAGAAGGTATAAGCGATTTAAGGCTTAGGGTGTCTTAGGGTGTTTGGGTTTCGGGCTAGGGCTTGGGTTTGCAGTCCGGAGGGTTTTCGGTTCTCAGACCAGCACGGCTTTATCGTTTAGGCAGGAACTCCGGGCGCTTCGGGAAGACCAGTGCCAGCGAGTCTTCATGCCGCGTAGGGCTGGGGAGTTGTCAGGATGCACTGGTGCCCGTCAAAAAATACCTTCCAAGACCTTCGGCTCATATTACACCTGCATTCGCCTGCCGAGGAAATTATGGCCCAGCTTGAGAAAGATCCGGTGGTCGCGCCTGCTACATTGAGGGAGGGCTTGGAAGGATAAGGTTCAGTACAAGTCGCCGAACTGTCACGTGGGTGGTGAAAGGTAGACAGGCCTGCAATATTCTGAGATGGGTCGGCTGAGTAAATCTCAATTAAATTAGGCTGAATTATGTCTTGGGTGATGAGCTACAGCACGCCAAAACTAAGGAAACGGGCTTATGCAGAGGTTTTCCAATGGACAAACAGGAAACTAAGACGGTGTACATGACAAGCGTTTAGCATGACACGCACATGTGACTAGTTGCTTGTGAAGCACATGATAGAATTTCAGATAGCAGCTGTGTCAGTACTTTGCTTGCAGTGGCCTGCATACATCTCCCGACCCGAAGCGAATCTGCCTACGGCCTCTTCCACCAAGTGTTCCACAAGCCTCGACGTATCGCTTACGACAGGAGCCACCAGACGGCCCCCCAGAGGAGCCCGTGCCACCTCCACCCAACGAGGCCCGTGTTGCACCGAAGCTTAGGCAGAGTCGAGTGCACGAGCGCAAGTAGCCCTGTGTTTCGCTCCAGCCTGCGTAAGGCATTAGGTTCTTCGAGGCTTCAATGTTACTCGAAAATGTGTAGGTCTCGACCGCAGCTGGTTAGGCAGCACAGTTCGGAAGGGTGTCTCGACATCTGCCCTGCATGGCCAGATTGAGATCCCAACAGATGGGCCCATAGGAGCCTTGTCTTGATTCCATCGCTTGTCAGGCTGAGGGTCGTGTCAGGGCCAGCATGGTTGGAGACAAGCGCAATCGAGCAAGTCAGCAAGTGCATATATCCCAGGTGATGGCTACGAGGTGATCCTAGATGTACCGCCCAGCCGGCGTGACGACTTCGATGGCCCAGCCATGTCACCCAGCGGAAGAAAGCAGGAGAACAGACACTGCAGCCGCGACAGCATCTCGTGCGGGCGCAGGGATCATGTTCGGAGTGCTTGCTTGGCGACAAGGTTGTCATGCATTGAAGGAGCGCCGCGAGCCGAAGGCCTACATACTAGGCAAGGAGGGCCTCTGGAGGCTCTCCCATGACCACCCCATGAGTCCAACACATGCACCACACTCTGGCGGGAGTAAGGTACATGCCGGCTCCGCACAGCCAGAATGCCTGCAGAACTGTGGCGAGACCACTCTTTCAATTGGAAGCACGCACGGTGCTATGGTCGGAGCACGTTTTCGATTTTCGCGAGCTTCCCCGTTCCAAGGCTGAGGAGCTCCACGGAGGAGAACAGTTCGCTAGGAGCACGATTTCAGCCATCCAACAAGGCGGCAACATGATTTCGGCAGACAAAAGCACTGGCGGGAGCACTATTCGGGCGTCCGGCTGGGCGGGTGCGCCGCCTAACCAAATCCTCTTCACCCCAGTCGTGCTACAGTGGGGTTGGGGAATGGCAAAAACGTGACGGCGCAATTATGCGAGCAGGGACACCATGGGGGTCTGAAAGCTGATGCAACTTTTAAAGGTTGAATGAATGTACTAAACACTTCGTTGACACGTGACGGGTTTCTTCCGCTCTGAGGCAGCCGTACCGTGTGCACTTCGGCAGCAATCAAAAGGGGTGTCCGACGACTCTTCGCCTTTTCAGCGAGCCCTCAGCTGGCAGCTGAAATATTACTGTTTCTACACTGGAGAGGGCGCTCTCGGCATATCATCCAAGGGGCATGCATTCCGGCGCCCCAGTGCTCATGAACGGATTTGATCAGCGTTTGCTGGTCCTGACCTTGCACGAGGCCAGCCGAGAAGCCTCCAAGGGGAAGTGGGATTGCAGAGTGCTTCCAGTTCATAAATGGTCCTGCTGCTTTTTTGCAGGACTTTCGTCCGTGGCCAGGCTGGCGGGTGTGGTTGCTTGGGTAGTGAGAGCAAATATCGCCGATCCCGCCCTCTGCTCAGCGAGTTGCTCCCTTACACGGGGGCAGACCCGATGGGACAGAAGTGCCACAAGTTTGGAGCGGCGCCCCAGTGCCACGAGTCGGCAGGTCGGCGGCAGAAGATCGCAGCTTTCCTTTGAAGCCTCCGAGCCTGACAGTTGTCCCGTCGTGAAGGCCTTGGATTTCTCGCGTGGATGATTCTGACTTCCGATTTTTTTCCTCCAGATGAAGCCCCTACCAGCATTGCCCATCCCTCGATGAGCCGCTCGAGCTGCCGAGGTCGCGTGCAGCACTGCCCGTGGTGTTGGCCCAGGAAAAAGTGAGCTCTGGGACGGAATATGTTCTGGAATTCGTAAGTTGGTCTCCAGATCCAAGGTCCGAACTTTACTGCAAGATTTGCCCCAAGCCTGGGTTCCCTGAGTTCGCAGGTGCCGGTAGCCATCGGAGTCCATTTGGCATTGGCCAGGGCCCCAAACGAAAGTGTGGCAGAGGCTACGCTGAACGTCGCTTGTTCACTCTTCCTGCCCAGGTGCTGATGCTAGTGTTCATTGCAGTGTTCACCATCCAGGCTGCCTGCTGCGGGGATGGGTGGGGGGTTGCGAGGCGCGCATGGCAAATCGTCCTCCTACAGGTGATGGCTCGGTGCAAGCAGCAGGTACAGCAAATTTGCAAACACTCAGCTAAGCTAAAGGGGAAAGCGCCGGTCCTTTGTTGTAAGTTCCAGTGTACGGATGGCCTCAGGCTGAGCGGGAGGATCTGGAATCAAGATGAATCAAGGAAACCAACCATCGGCTATGGGCCTGGATTTTGTCAGACGTTTGCTTTATGCAAGGCAGAGCGCGTTTGGCAGTCTGCTCGCTTGGTAAGCTACAGCCTGTTGCGAACAGGAGTCTTCTGTACAGTAGGCAGTGCTGAATACTTCATTGGTGTGCGCAGGCTGTGAAGTCTTCGCGTGAACCTGAGAAGTTTGACCGGCTGGTCCTCTTCATGGTCATGGGCAGCTTTGCAGCAAGTAAGCTTGAACCTTCATGCAAATATCCCATAGTCAGACCGGACGTGCTGCGCAGTGCTTGAAGTTGGCGGGATTTTGGTGGCCGCCGTAGCTCGTATCCATCACGTCCTGCCGGCAGGGTTGCAAGACAAGTGCCTGTCAACTGTTGACCGCAAAATCTGTGCGCTGTCCCACAAAGAGCCCAGGAAGCTCCAAGCCAAGTTTACCTCCCTGGTTTTCGGAAGATCTAGGAGTCGGGTCAGCTGTGGCCCTGGCCAAAGCAATCAGCATGAAGCCCAAGAAGGAGAAGAAATGAGAATGGCTACTCGTAGTTGCAGGTTCAGCTCTTAGCGGAAGGCCACGCAGAACATGCGTTGAAAGCCCATGCAGGCGACACTAGGCCCTACTAGGCCTGATGGCTCTGCGCAGTACGACGGTAGGAATCGCTCCATTCTGGAGGCGTTGTTCGCAGAAGCTGCAGGCGACACAGTCAAGCTGTGTGACTGCATTCCGGAGGCTTATCGCCGTTCACCATTACAGTGCAACGACAAGCTGTGAAAAAAGTGGTGTCCTCTCCAGGTCCCAAACTGGATGGGAACGTATAAGTGTCTGACCTAGATTGTGCTGCGTCTTCTGATTTATCGCTTGCTTACAACGCAGCTGGCTACAGAAGGCAGCCAACTTCGGAGACCGTGGGAGGGAAATCCAGCCAACAAAGACATTCGTATGATGATCTTTTCGGGGCTTGCCATTCGTCACTTCTAGAAGAAGCGGCTGCTGCCGACGCGCGGCATTTCAGGGCGCAGCATTGGATGGACATCAATCTCATCTCCGCTACATTCCGCAGTCCGTAGTTTTCGCTTTTTGGGCACGTGGCGGCAGCGTTTGTCAAACGCCAGCATCATAGTAGTATAGAGATGTAGAGAGTATAGAAGTCCTTCGACTCCACCTTCAAAGAAGCCCAGAACAGCCCCCCCACAGCGCCTTTCACAAAAAACCCCTCCTCCGCTCCTCCCCCCCCCAGCAGAAACCCCAAGAGATCGCTGCCTGGGGCGCCGCTCGCCGCTCTCTCCATGGCGAGCGCGCGGCTGCTGGGGTCTCCCGGCCGCCGTTTCGGCCTTTTCTTCAGGCAGAGGACTCCGGGGGACCCTTTTTACTACATGACCCCAGCGATGGGAGGAATTCGATCTTTTAAGTTTCAGGTTCAGGGCTCAGTCTTTGCATGTCTGTGGTTTTCCTGAAGGATGTTATCTTCCCTGCGCCAATGAAAGAACACAAGAATCAACATTTCACCTGGCTGTGAAGGCACATCGCTACCGAAGCCGCGGCTCGCAGAGCGCCGCAGTCTGCGGCCGCAGCGCGGAAGGTGGACAAGCTACTCGACCGAAACATACCGAAACGGTTTGGTGCTGCGGAGATGGTATGTCGTCCTGAATCCACATTCGACAAGCACACAGCTTTAGCTCGTCATTGCCTCCAGCTTGAATGTGAACAGCGTATACGACGCAGTACAAGATAGACTACGTTGAGGCCTCGCTTGCATCATGAGGTGGGGCAGAGGAACCTCTTCTGTGGAGGCTTTCCGCATCCCGTTTTGCATCAGCTTCAATCTGAGGCTCCCCATCCCCGAGATTCTCAAGCAGAAGCTCGGCTCGTTTCATTTCCAGGGCTCGCTCTGCTTGAGGCGCCTTCTTTCGTGGATGATGTTTTATGTCATTGCCGAGGCAAGGACAGGGCCTTTAGAAGGTAAACGAAGGCACTGGATGCTGCGTGCCGCGGACGCGGAAGAGGCCACAAAGTCGTGGACGCCGAAGTCGAGCAACGAACGTTTGGCCTGGCCCGGCGCCCCGAATAAGAACTGAGCATGGCAGCTGCACGCAGTTGAACGTCAGGGTCGCGGATGTCATGATTGACGAGAAGCAAGAGCGAAAGAGCCAACGTGTCTGGACAAGTTCCGTGAAGCACAGGCCAAATCCTGACCCGAAGGTCGCTGCGACAGGAGCGTCCGAGAGAACGAGACCATCGATCTGCTACCATGCAAGTCATGCTGGCTCGTGGCCAGGGTCACTTACAACAAAATTCGCAAAGGCGCTGCCGAACTCGATTGTGGAGCAAGACTGTAACGATTGCAGGGTCCTGCAGGGAATTAGGGTCACCTTGAATCAACAGCTTCTTGTGCCTCTTGACTCGTCGAGGAACTTGCACGGTCTGGGCGTGACAAAACTCTTCGAGATCCAGTCGCCCCTTGCCAAAATCCGAAGCATCTGGAGAGAGGGCAGTTCAGCCACATGCCAGTCATACGCTTTTCGAGGCGAGCCTTTGACCCCATCCTCCGGGGGAGGAGCTTCGTTGGCCGCTCGAAGACCGGGACCGGCAAGACGGTGGGGCATGGCGTTTCGGCAGGGCGTTCCGCTTTCTGAACCAGTGCGTGCTACTGGTAGGCTGCTGTAGACTTTGTGCTTTTTTCTCGAACAGGCTTGTCAATTTCTTCTTAGACCATGCATCCATGTATCGATGCTTGAAACTGACTGGAGACACCATCTGTCGAACAGGTGGCTTACCTGCTGCCACTACTGGAACGAATGCGCCATGAGTTGCTCGGTCTTCCATAATTTGTGCCATGTCACTTCATTTTAGAGGCACGAAAGCAGCAAGCAACCTCATTTGATCTTTGCGTCGGAACCTGCACGATGTGCAGGCCTTCAAGGCTAGTGACGCCTAAGCTTGGAAGTCCAGGTTTCAACGCAAATGTTAGTTGTGGAATGGCATTGTTTCCTTCAGTTTGTTTGCCGCCTCCGTGCTTTCACCGTGCCGCCGGACTGTCCTCACCGGAGTACTTCCTGCGCAGACTTGAAGACGTTAACGGACTACACCTGGAGTCATTCCAGCTTCGTGGCGCAGGGATGGGCTGCGGATCTCGGTGCACCTGCACAGCTAAGGGGGTACAACACTTGTCCCAATGTCTCGAGCCTGGCATTTACATATCTAACGCAACTTCGAGCGAAAAAGGGTTTCCGAAAGCAGTACCCGCATTCAAGAAAACAAGTTCAGACAACACGGCGATCTGATTCCGAAATCGCTGCCCGATGACAGATTCCGCAAAACACCGGGGACCGATTGTTGATGCCGCCATTTTGCAACCTCGTTAGTATCTCCCTTTAGGGTTTCGGGTTTGCCAACCAATGCACATAGATTTCGTTGTTTGCCACCCTCGATCTGCTTTTCTAGCGTGGGGTATTGTCAACCAAGCAAGATATTCTTCTGGCTTTAGGGTTGCGGGTTTGCCAATCAGTATCTTTTTAACCACATATCTTCAGCTTTGGGGGCTTGCCCACCAACATGTTCTCTGAGGGTTCGGGGGTATACCACCCTGCCACCCGCTGCTCGCATCTCTCTTTGGGGACTGGGTCTCTTCTTTTCGGGTTTAGGGATTGCAAACCAATGTCTTCTTGCTTTGGGACTGGAGGTGTGCAACAGGGCTTGCCACCGTTGCATGAACTCGTTTTCCCAAATTACTCCCGATGTTCTGTCAAAGTTTTCCGATTGTGTCTCTTCCGTTTACAGGGTTTGGTTTCGGGAATTTCGGTTGTTTGCTGAGTCGGCCCTCCTTGTTTTCCGGAGCCCGCCAACAACTTCTGCGACAGAGAGTTGATTCGTTCCCTGTGCTATGCAGAACAACAGTGGAAAAGGCTTTGCTCGACCAGAGCCAGCCGTTTTTCATGGCCAGTGGAGCCAAGAACGCAGGACACTGCCTATCGCGGCTCTGCAAAGGTGCAATGCGGGGGTTGCTGGGTGGCCGAGTTAACATGCTAGCAGTCAAAATTCAGGAAAATGACGCTGCCGCACTCTTTGGTGATCCTGGTGCCAACTCGCGAGCTATGCAAGCAGGCCACGACGGTATGCTTTTTCTTCTGTCATGCCACTGTCAGAATCCACGGTTGTTGCCAGTACGTATTCTTCCGCATCTGTTGCAAAGCAGGACCAGAGTCTTGTTTGGAGATTTCGGACACTTTGGTGCTTCGTGCCCGGCAGGTTGGATCGGCATTGCTCTCATTGTCCGTGCAGGTAGATGTGGCACTGGCCTCTTTGCTCAACAATGGGCCCGGGTTTGGGTGCGGTGGTATGGAGGGTGTCGCATGTCAGACAGCCAATGATCTCACGATGTCGGTGTAGTTGGACATGTCGCCTGAATCCGTGCCTCCCTTGTGCGAAAGTGCGGGTCGAGAGGATGTGGCACGCATGGAGGCAGGAGCTGCGCACGTGGACTCAGGTTTACGGCGGCGAGACTTTGCACTCGCAGGCGAGATGATGGGGACGCAGAGGGTGGGGAACGACGTGCTAGACCAAATCATTCAGACAGCCCCACATGATGTGTCTAGTGCCATGTCAATTGCTAGCTAGCGGTGACGGTGGCTGGCGCTGGTTCCACAAATCGTAGCTGCAAGTGTGTCTTCTTCAGCAAGGTCGCACCTGTCTGATTACATTTGAATGTGTACTGTCCACACTCTAGCGAATTGGACCGAGACAGCATGAACGCAAACTACAAAGGCTTTACGAAAGGTTTTACGCCCATGATGATGAAGCGACTCCTTGAAGCGACCAACAGCTCTTGGACATGTTTCGCTGGTATTGCAAGGTTTTGCTCGGACGGCTGCTGCAGACTAGCATTCGGTGCCTTGTGCGTAGGAGCAACTGGTTCGTCTCGGCGCAGTGGCAGTTGCCCCGCGGCCGCTTTTGTCTACGGAACTCCGGCAATTCCACAAGTTGTTCGGCCATTCGAGCAGAGAAATGCGATGCCATGTTTGCCCGTGAAAGTGTGCAAGTCTTTGGTGAATGAAGCAGCAAGCAAGCCGGCAACTTTGGTGCAACTCTCTATTGCAAGGGTTCCGCAAATGGCCGTCGTTTTGACAGCATTCGGGCGGTGTGAACTGTCGTGTGCTGACTGAGTCCTAACTGTCAACACATCTCACCATTCTGGCTGTTGCGATGGCAGAGCTAATTAGTTTGTGCACAGCAAGAGCACTCGGACAGCTCCAAGTAAAAGCATTCTCCAGCGCCCTTTGAAGCACTCAGCTCCAAAACTGCAGCCTCTTGCAAAGCCTACTTCGCAGCTCCATGTGACCATACGGGTGATTGGAGGGTTTTCAAGAACGACTGAAAGGCATGACGACCTGCCTGAATCAAGCTGTAGCTCATTGGATGATTGTTGGAAACAGCTTTGCAGATTTTGGGGCCGAGTTCCATATATGGCCTGATAATATCGAGGGGATGCTTCTATACTAGATTAACGGAAGTGTTCGCGCAAGCAAGCCCCAAGGGATTGAATTCTTGAAGCACTGATGCCTGAGTCCATTGAGGTGGCTACGCCTGGCCGCTGCGCGCGACTGGTGGAACGAGGTGCTCCAAAGCCGATGCATTCTCGAACGAGCTGCTCGTTTTTCATGTGTTACTGATAAGGTGCCTTGCAGACCGAGAATGTGCGAGCGCTGGTGATTGATGAAGCAGATGCCATGCCGCGACCTTAAACCACAGAGAAACGTTCCAGAAAGAGCAAGAGATGGTGTCAGGACATGATCTCCGGCCCATGCTTTCTTTTGCTTCTTGAAGCCTTCGCAATCGGTGTTCGGGAATCGGGTGCCAAGGTTCGGTCCTGAATTCGTGGGCCGAGTGGAGCGAGTGCTGAACGCAGTTGCCAAGCCCGGGCTGTGCCATGGCCAGGGAGCCAGTTTTCTGTAAGCACTTGGGCACATTGGCACGTTACTGCGCAATCTTGTTGCCATTGTTGGATGTACCTGCGATGCTGCTTCACACCCCTTAAAAATAACGGTGTAAAGCACTCCCAAGCCAAGGCAGCACGTTCTATTTTCCGCCTCCTTGCCTGATGACATTTCGACGCTTATTGGTCAGCACTTTCCAGCCGCCTGGTCTGACCATAAATTCGTCTCCGACTAGAATCCCCCAGCCTGGGTTTCCCCTGAAACGGCTGCAGCTCAAGCTAGCCGATGCTGAACGTGTCCGCGCTGCGCAGCTGCCAAGAACCACGAGCTTGTGGACCTCGTGGATCGACGTGGGCCAAAGGGCGAAGCTGTTCTTCGCACTGAGAATCAGATTTCGTGCCGAAGTATCGCAGGACTGGCAGTCACCTTGCTTAGACATGCTTTCGACATCGGAGCCCGATTGAATCGCACCTAGGTTGTTACTGCCGTCGACCACCGCCTGTGCAAAGTCCCAGACAAAAGGCAAATGCGAATGCAGAATGTAAGCTGATATAGATCACATTCGGAGAGGCTGCCAAGGAAGAGAAAACCTTCATGTAGGTGCAGTCAATGATTATGCTTCAGATGTTCTCCTCGATGCTCTTGGAGTCAGAGGCCGACCGCCCGAGCTCGTGTGCTGATGCACTTGCTGAACGAGAAGATGCTCGGCTATGCTGGGTCATCGCAGCCATCTGTGGTCCACCCCGCACTTAGTCGAGTAAGCATCCCAAACCCTCAGCTCCGGCTAGGTCAATGAAACATTATGCACGCGCGAAGTTCCTTACGTTGAGACAATGATTGGAAAGTCGTGCTTGGAGTCCCACCACTCGATCACATTCATTGTCGGCTTAAATCACGACTGCCCAGAACCTGCCGCTGGTCTGAAACGACGATACTTCTACTTATGCTAATTATTTACCGGTGACTGATGATGCTATGCGTGGGGAAGTCGGCCTTTGTCTCACTCGCCTCAGTGTCCCAGGCTGGACATGCTCGGTGGGCGCTGCATCGTTTTCGTGGACACGGCCTCGCAGGCCCGGTTCCATTTGTCGGCCAGCCATTCTTCTGGCAAAGTACGAGTCTGGCAAGTCAAAGTAGAGTGATGCCGTCGAAAGCATTGGCAAGCAACGAGCACGTTAATGAGAGACGACGGCAGAGAGACTGAGATCAAAGTGTGATGTGATGATGAGTGCATGCACGTCAGTGCTGTTGAAAGCATGTGATTGATGCTGTGCCTAGCGACTCGTCGTGCAATGCAGGAGGCAAAAACAACTTGCCTGATGACTCCACGGTCGGGAAAAGCTAGCTCGTTTTCCCCAGTTTTGGCACCGGACCGTTTTGCCAATCCCCGCTTGTAATCCTTGCAACGAAGTCCGAGTTGTACGGCTGTCGGAATTGCAGGCGACTGCATTGCTGGCACACCCAGCCATGGAGCGCCGTGCACGAAGCCTCCATGGGAACTCAGCAGCTGAGGTGCGGGCCGCAGTGCAGGCTTGTGTATATGAGCAGGTCCAGATCTTACTGCCTGCGTATACATGTGATATGTGCATGGCGGTAGTCAAAGTATGGGCACATGTGCACATGGACAGGTATACCAGGGTGTACACACACACAGACACACTCACACGCGCGCATACAAGCGCACACATACATACATACATACATACATACATATATATATATACATATGTATATATTTTTTCTCACATTTATACAGACACACACACACACAGACACACTTGAAACTCGGATCGCCGAGATATTTCGGTGATATTCACACACATACACGCCCGTATCTACAGATGCAGCCGGTATATTTGGTTGTTCGTGTGCCACCGGTCTGTGTTGTCGAACTCCAATTTTACTTCTGCTTGTGCTCTATTACTAGTACTAGCTGCAACGACGACGACTACGAGTACGACATGCTACGACAACGACGACTAAAAGGCAGGCGACTGTTTTCGCAACTACGACATACTACGACGACTCTACTACTAGTGCTTCTACACTACTACCACCACTTTACGACTATTACGACGACGGCTACTAATACTGCTACTGCTACTCCTCCTCCTCCTCCTCCTACTACTACTACTACTACGACGACGACTACGACTACGACTAGTGCTGCTGCTACTGCTCTGCTACTGTTGCTGCTACTGCTGCTACCACCACCACCACCACCACCACCACCACCACCACCACCACCACCACCACCACCACCACCACCACCACCACCACCACCACCGCGATGACGACGACGACGACTACGACTACGACGACGACGACGACTACGACGACGACTACTACTACTACTCTACTACTACTACTACTACTACTACTACTACTACTACTACTACTACTACTACTACTACTACTACTACTACTACTACTACTACTACTACTACTACTACTACTACTACTACCTACGACGACGACCACAACTATCACCACCACTACAACTACGACTACTACCACTACTCCTTCGAAACTACGACGACTACTACTAGTACTACTACTACTACTACTACTACTACTACTACTACTACTACTACTACTACTACTACTACTACTACTACTACTACTACTACTACTACTACTACTACTACTACTACCTACGACGACGACCACAACTATCACCACCACTACAACTACGACTACTACCACTACTCCTTCGAAACTACGACGACTACTACTAGTACTACTAGTACTGCTACTACTACTACTACTACGACTACTACCACTACCCCTTCGACTACTACTACTACTACTACTACTACTACTACTACTACTACTACTACTGCTACAAGTATTACTAGTACTGGTACTAGCACCAGTACTAGTACTCATACGAGCGCATGGTACTTGTCTGCTCTGAGTGGTTGAGCTTGATTGAAAATCTGTCACTAGCCTTTCTGTGACTTCTGTTAAAGCCCCAGTGACCGCCCGCAGCACTTGGCCGCTAGAACAACGTATTCTTCCCGTCCAAGCACTTTTGAAATGTGACCCACTTGGCCCGGAGTCGGTTTCAGTGGTGCTGACAGATTCGATGCTCATCGTAAGTGTGACCTGCAGCAGAGCACCAAAGCCTGCTTGAGACTCGCATGCTTCTGTGACCAAAGTGTTCCAAATCACACCCACAGGCTGCAGGGTGTGGATCCTACAGGAGGTTGCATTGTCCTGTAATTCGCTTCAACCCGTGGTTGACAGCGTGGAGGGTAAGCGACTGGTCGGAGTGATTTCTGCTATCAGGAGAGGGACAGCGTCCTTACCAGCTTCGCAAACAAGGAGCTGCTCGGCTCATGTTCCATTTATATATGCATTGTGGCATTCCAGTCCTGCCGCTTGTAACAGCGAGCCAGCTTTGTGTAAGCAATGGGTCGCTTGCGAATTGGCTGTCTGTGCTTGTCGTCAGTTTTCAGAACCACTTCCATGCATCACTTATTAAGCCCACGACGTGTCGAGGTTTGATGTTCTCGTTGCCACAGATGTGATCGCTCGTGGCCTGGACTTCGCCGACGTAAATTTGGCCACTCGCTGAGAGTCCGGGAGAGAGGAGGCCACTTCCGCCCTCGCAACACTCTACAAGTAACCTCCACAAGCATGTAACACTGTAACGGTTACCGAATGGCTACTGAGGTCAGGACAGTGAGTTGAATCAATAGTGCAGTTGGTGCAGAGATGAGGCCGGCAACGGCTCTTGCAGGGACAGTCCTGATCTGAACGTGGGCCTGTGTTTCGTGCATGACCAGCACCAATGTAAACCATCCCTCATCACTTCCCGCACCGTTGTCGTCACCAATTCAACAACAACTACGAACAAGACGAAGTCGGATCCCGGTCGCAGACCTCGTGCTGCCACCACTGCTGTGCTTAGTTCCGCTTCGGCTTTCGCTCCTCTTGTTTACTCTGGGTTCTTTGCCAACTGCCTCCTTGTCCAACACGAATGCCACTGCAACTGCTGAGCTGCAGAATTGTTGCTGCCACTGCTGGTGCTGCTGGACGACCACCACGAGCACAACCACACTATTGTTGCTGTCTCCCTCGACAAAAATCTGTGCGGCTTTTGCTCATACTCCTACCCGTGCGGTTCTTCAGTGGCTTAGTTCTGCAAAGGTGATGCAGCTCCACCCGCCAAAGGATGCCGCGTTTCCTTGGCAGCACAACATCCCTTCAGGTTGTGTGGGTCCACCTACTTGTCGGGTGGTTGTTCCAATATGTTGAATCAGGGTCTAATCTAGTCATGTCTTGGCGCTTCTTCCAGGCAGTACGTCCACAGATCCGGTCGAACCGGCCGCGCTGGCCGCGGGGGAGCCTCGGCAAAAGTGGGATGTCAGTGTAATTGGCATTCTCTTCACTTCATTTGAGCCCGATCTGCTGTTCAACTTCTTTTCGCAATTAGCTGAACATGGAAGATGCTTCCACGCTGCATTGTGGCAGATCGGCCTTTACGTCAATGACTGTCGAACCCGTCTGTCATGGCACGGATGACCGCATTTTCCATGAGGAACTTGCATCACTTTGTACGACTCCGCCGAGCGAAGATACGTGCAGCGTGTCCGTCAAGTGACCCAGCACGAGTTTTCGATGTTCCTTGGCCGCTTTCAGCTCAGGATCCACAGGGTTCTGCACACAGACGTGACGTAGGATCGCCGCCCCGGGGCCGCTTGACGTCCACCACGCGGCGGTGACTCTTGGCCTCCAAGTCGGGAGCCCTGAAAGCATGGCATCCTAAAGTCCTAGGGACCGAAGGACCTCTTGAGCCTCCGAAAGCGCTTTTGGTGTTTTTGCCTCGGAGCTCAGGAGCCGCCTTCTGGAGCAGCTCTTCGGCTCCTGGGCTTCACTGCTGCTGCTCTGCTGCTCAAGAGCTCCCCAAGATGCTTTCTTCAGCTTTCGGCAGCGCAGAGGTGTCCAGCCGGAGGAGTACGATCCTCTGCTGGAGGTGCGGTCAAGGATTTTTGAATGCCGGATCGTGGATAGTTCAGTACTTGCGCTCCGAAGCCCCGCACCGAAACAGGATGCCGAGACGCTGCTCGACGAGAATGGGCCGGCCATCCTGGCTTCAGAGCCTCGGCGAGTGAGAAGAAAGACTTCGTGGGAGTTGTTGGGGGTGTTGTTACGACGGGGGAGCCTGTGCAACGGTTCTCCAGTGGTCGGTCCTTTTATCTGACTAGCCTGGGACTACAATCCTGAGCATCTGCAGCATTCCCGGTATGTGATCAGAGTGGTCTTTGTGTGCCCTGCCTCAGTCAGCGCTCAGTCCCGTAGCATGCATTATTCTGTATGGTATCACCACGGTGGCACATGTTGTCTGACTCGAGGCCATGGCTGTCCTTGATAGTCGCCATGCAGACCTCCAGCAGGCTCTGCTGCGAGCATGGGGAGAACGAGCGAGGACACGATGCACAGCTCTTGTTATGTCAGGCGCTCCGTGATCGTCCCTCGATCTTCAGCGGGCGCCGTGGGTTCGTTTGCTGCTCGTCCAAACAACACCATCGAGGGAATCAATTCCCACTGTCTTTTCCCCTGGCCTGCCGAGATTGCATAAGTCGAAGCTTGTTCAGCAGGTTTGTTGGCCAACGATCCGGAACACCTGGTGGCGACCACCGAGGGTGAAATCCAGCGAATCGCTCTTTGGCGGAGATGAACAAATCTGGAAATGTAAGAAACCAAGTTCCGTATCCTCGGCGGGACCGGCGACTTGTTTCTCAAGGGTTCGGGGCTCCAGCCAAGGGCACCGATTTGTAGCATGCTCGTGCTATCTTCGACTCATCGTGTCCGCCTAGCACTGCAACTGTGGAAGGTTGGTTCAATGATGCCCCAGCTGGAGACTGGGCTGCAAGAGGGCAGGAATGTCTTGATTGAAAGCATACATGAGGCTGTGGCTGACACGGGAACCGTCAGAATCGTGCTCAGGCAAAGGTGGGCCGTGTGGCGCGAGTAGAAGGTGGTTGGGCTGTCGACGTGGAGCACCGTCACGCAAGCGGCCTCATCGAGGTGCGGCTTTTCCAAAGCAAGCGAGCTAAGCAAAGAGTATTGATTTCCCCGTTCGGAGATCTTTAGAGAGTTTAAGTTGCATCGACATGGCAAAGAACGGAAGTTCCAATCTGCGAGATGGAGGTGAACGCGTGCACGGCCGAAATCACCATCAGCCTTTCTCGGTCTCGATTCTGATCAGTCAACATGGTGAAGACCCGAAGCAACCCTCTGCTGAAGCCCTTCGTCAAGCAAGGAGCCAAGAGAAGCGAACGTGAAGCCCTGGAGGCACTTCGCTCGGGCAGCGTTCAGGCCCCATTCGAGGTGTCCGTCGCGCGGCGCATGCCTCGAGTGGCCCGGCTTGCGGAAGGGTCGGATGCTGGCTTCGTCGAAATTAGCGTTGATCATCAGACAAGAAGGCTGTCAGGAGACCGCTGGCATGCACAATTGACCAAGCTTGTTGGCCAAACGGGCCTGTACCTTCACGATCCAGACTTCATGGAAGGGTCAGAGGTGGTCGAGGTGGTCTTTCGGCAGGAAGCATACCGTCAAGGGAGCAAGCTTGGCCGACAGGGTTTGTCAGAGATGTTAGTTTAACTCCCGAAGTAGCAAGCTTCAGCTTCAGAGGTACTGCGTGGTCGGGCGGGACGCCTCACAAAGGCAGGAGATCGTGGCAGAGGGATGCAGTTCAGCACGAAAGTGTGCACCTCGCAGCATGCCAACATGCTGATGCGGCGGAACCTGCGAGGCTCCCTGGGCTGCGCAACGGCGGTGGGCCATGAAGAGTGGAGCTCGGAGGAGAGAGAAGCTTGCAAAGATGACAAAAGGCTTTGTGCCTATTCACATCTATTCCTGTTCACTGTTCTCTCCCCATCTCTCCCCAAGACGTTGAGAGGATGCTTCCCGGGGTCATGTGCGGTGGCATGACTTGTCACCTGCAGACAGAATACATGTTGCCAGGTGCCACGCAGGTGTGTCATCTCTGTTCGGCAACCCCAGAAATTCTACACCACCCCGCCAGCTGCAGCTTTTCCAGGGAGGTCCTATCGCTGAAGCGGGGTTTTGCAGTACGCACACTGCAGAGAGACCGGGCAGCTCCTGATATCTCAGGATACTCGCAGAACTTGGTGTTCTATTGTTTTGTACGTGAACGTGCATTCTAAATAGGTACAGTATGGTGCAGTCTGAGGTTGTGACAGAGTTGGTTGCCGCATGTTGCCGTTGCTCAAGCTGTTTACAGCAGCCATATATGGTCCGGCAGAGCAAGGAAGAGTCGGATGTCCATCATGGAGGCACGCATGCAGAAGCCCAAGCCAAGCCACACCCGGGCTGCTTAATTACCAAGGTCTTTCCCAGAGCTTTTCACGGACCACGGGAGTTGTCAGCAGTTCACGCATGTACCAGCAAGAGTGGCAGCAAGCTTTGAGTGCGAAGGCGACGGCGGACGAGACCAGGCTTCCGCACTACTCGAAACAGGAGTACTGGGAGCAGCGGTATCGGAATCAACTCGGAGCATCGGAGTGGTATCTCGGCTGGCCTCAGCTCAAGCGTCACCTCTGCGATCCAGATGGCATCCTCGGCCCCTTGGCTCTGGTCCCACCTGCCCTCGTGTTGGAGTTGGGCTGCGGAAACTTCTCCCTGGTCCCCGGCCTTGCAAGCAGCGGCTTTGCAGCTTTGGGGACAGACTTCTCTCCGGCGGCGACAGCCGAAGCTGCTGCGGCTGCCAGATCCGGAACCCCCGACTTCGCCACACTTGACGCAAGGGTGCTGCCCCTGCGGTCGGGCATCTTCGATGCCGTTCTGGACAAGGGCTGCTTCTTGGAGCAATCCAAGAAACGACGCACTTAGTATGTACTAGTATCTTCGTATAATGTAGTACGAGGCAGTAGTGCGAGACTAACACGGCGGCTCTCAGATGCCTGGACTTCTCGGAGTTGACTCACGAGCCAGGCCAGGTCCAGAGCTGGAAAGGCATGCATTCCAACTCAGGACTAGCGGGCCAGCAAATCGCTACAAAAGAAGTCAGGCCCTATAATTCATAGTTCGTTAATCCATGTTAATCCCGTATCAATGGCTGGAGTGCATGCCATCTATTGATGCTGCACTTCCATTTGAGGCTTCGATGCTCTGAAAGCACACGACTCGCACGAGATGCTGTTGGAAGCTTGCCGAGCGCTAGCCGCTGGAGGACGTTTCCTGTGTGCTCTTACACGGAGACTTTAGCAATAAAGGATTTCTTCTTGCTGCCTTTTGCTGCTGCTTCTGCAGGGTATTTCCGAGATATCGGGGGTCAGCAGATACAAATGCAATTATTACATAACGATCGGGATCGTTTCGTGCAGCGGCCAGGTTTCAAACAATGGTACACTTCTGCGAAGCCACGCCCGTAAAGTACCGGGCTGGAGGTGTGCGCTTGGCTCCCCTTTCTGCATCCCTGACTTGGATGACGAGCTTTACCTTCACTGCTACGTTCGAGATGCAGAGAGATTGCACAGCACCCTCTCAAGCAACACGGGCTATGCGGTCCTCCAGCAACCTGATTCTGGGCCGCGCGGCTGTACAGGGCCTTCACACCACAAGCTGATTCCACACAAACTCCTAGTTTCTGTGCCTTGGGCAGACCGAGCCTCCGATATTGCATTGCACGTGGCAGAGGGCGAGGAGCTGCAAGTGGTGGTTGCGCCAAACGGAAGCTTGGCATCTACTGTGGTCCACGTGGCGTACCAGTTGCTGTAGTCAGCAAGTGAAGATGTTTCCAGGCTGTTTGTCCTTTCAGCGTGTGGCTGAAGGCGTGGATTACGCGCAGTTGACCCCCACGTCATGGCAATCTGGGCCAGAGCCGACAGTGGCACCTGAAGCCGGGCTACGGCTGCGTTTGCCAAGATACCTGCAGATCGAGAGGACGGGTTGTGAAGAAATTTTGCGAGTAGCACCCGTACCACTAGTATCTGGGATCCTTGCTCCCGACATTTTGTGCACCCTCTGTGACCCAGGACAGCCGGGAGGAAAGCAGCTCAGCTCAGACAGGGTGTTGTATGACTGTGAGGTCGAACCAATGTGAGAAAACATCTTGCAGTGTCAAGACTAGTCCTGGCTTGGCTCAGCTCTGTATGTCGAGTTGAAAAGCCTGTCTCAGGATGGAAGCTTGCAGCAGGAGCCAGGGCAAAGGGGCAGCTTCTCTGCGAAGTCCAAGATCTTGACCTTCTGGCTGCATCCTGTGGGCACCACATAAAACAGATTCGTGTTGTTACCCGATTAGAAGGCATCAAGTTTCTATGGTTCGTTCTTCGTACAGCATTTTATAGACTGTATATGGGAAGGACTCATATAGGATTCTTGCATGTCTGGTGTAAGGGTGCAGGATTCGGTTGTGGTACCCCTTTGCTACTAGTACTGCTGCGACTGCTGCTGCCACTACCCTCCGACTACCACTACCAATCCCGCTCTCAAACCCACTCCCACTACCGCTACTCCTGCTACTGTTACTACGCCTTTACTACTCCCATGACTCCTACGTGCACTAGTACCACTACCTCTACCACTACGAGAAAAGTAACAGCAACAACGACAACGACTTCCACTACTCAGACGAGTGTTGTCCGGCGGGTTAGTTGTGCGCGTTTTCAGTTCTCGGCTTCGGCGGATGCTAGAGAGCAAGGCATGACATCTATGACACTATGGGCATGCCAGGAAGCAGTTGCGTTGTCAGTGCAGACTTTGCTGGTTGATAATGGTCCAGTAGAATCGAGGTGGAAATTGAGTCATGTGTAGTCTGTTGTCCAAAGCACTTTCATGACCGAAAGTTGGGCGTAGCTTCTCCTTGATGATGAGCTGGGAAAATCGAGGTTCCAAAGTTCCGTGTCCATTTGGGCGAGCCAACTAACTAACTGTTTTCATGAACTTGTTGCGACTGCCATGATTTTCTGCTGCAAAGAAGGGCTGCCGCAGCACTTCGACATGTTTTTGGCAAGCTTTTGGCTGAAGCTCTTAACTTTCCTAGATCTTACCGCAAGTTTCTGTAAGCATCACTGTCGCTGGCATGGCTTGGTCGGCAGCACTGGTGCCTGTTACCCTCGTTTCGTTGGCCCTCATGGGCCACACGGTGCGTGGAAAAGAGACATGTGCGCCTCAACAGGCAGAAGGCGCTGCGCTGTTGCATGTGCAGTTGTCCCACAATTCCGGGATTCGGGTGGAGGAGGACCAATTATCCAGCAACAAGTCGAACGACACGGCAAGTACTGGCAACCAGTCTACAAACACCACGCATACTTCCTTGAGCATCATTGCGGCCGTGGATGCTTGTTTGGAGCCACGTAGGCTAGCAGCCGCTGGCAACCCTGCCACCCTTGATCGCTTGGAGTTCGTGCGTGTCGCCGAGATACTCACCAGGTTGGTTCGTGCAAACTTGAGTGTCACGGCTCTGGGTGATGGCTACTCTGATGATGCAGAAATGATAGCTGCAGCACAGATGGCAGGACACGATGCTGCCGAAGTGTTGGTAAGGCAAGAGTTTGAAGCGGAGACCATGAAAGTGCTCTCTGGCCATAACTTGAGCCACCATGCAATCGAGCACTACACGAAGAAGATAGCCAAAATGGTGCACATGTGCTCCAACGGCACAGTCGCAAATGAAACCTCCATCGCCTCACTTGAGAGCGTTATCCTGAACTCTGCTGAGTCTGGCCACATGTTGTTCGAGGAGGCAGAAGTCGCCATGGACATCGCCTTGTATGTTCAGGGCCTTTGCCAATCCGAAGTTTTGGACATCGATTTCTTCGTGGGCAGCTTTGGAGATAACACCTCGGAGTGCAACTCGCTGATGCTCGCATCGACATCCGTTCATGTCAACAAGCAGTTGTCAAAGCTTGACTACTATGCCAAGAGTGCTCTGGTGCTGCACGATGAGCACAACAACCTTGCGCATCATTTCGCCCGACAGCACCTGAGTTCAAGTAAGGCTCTGTGGTGTTGTAAGTTTTGCGTGTTCTAGCTTGCGTGCATTTAGTCCGCCGAGTGCCACCGTTATACAAATAGCTAGAGCCATGTACAGGCTCCATCCAGCCACTCGGTCCACCATGGCGGCTGTTTCGATCGAGACGCTGATCCACAACGCCAGCATGTTCCATGCGGATGCTTCGGCCGCCTCAATCCCATTTTTTCCGCAGAGAGCTCTCAGTGCGATTTGAAGCGACACAACCCAAACCCTAAGGACCAGACGAGTTTTGTTGTGGCAGCATGGTTTATTTGGGCACCTTGTATTCCCAACTGAGTGCTTCAACACCCAAGATTGCCCACCATTGTTTCAACACATGCTGAGTCATCGGCGTAGCCTCATCCAGACGGGCAGCACCAAGCCTGCCCTTGCGGCTTACGGGCACCTTTGCCCCCCATGCCATTTTTCCCAGACTTGCAGTAGCCTCCGTCATGCTGACGACTTTGACAAGCCATAAGCAGAAACCAAAGACGACACATTAGACTTTCCAAATCTTTCCAACATACTCTAAATCCTCTGGTGTGTGAGGACGTCGAACAAATCTAAGGAGAACCGTGCGAGGATGGCCCGACTTCGATACCTTGATCGCACCTACTACGAGATGGCCCATGGGCAGTCGATGAACAAGTACTGCGACATGATCTCTGCGGCGTTTGGCAAGTGTTTCCCAAAGCCCGAACAGCAAAACCCGAATCCCCCCAAAAGCCTTCCGAAGACCCGAAAACTCTAATTAAACTGTTGCCGAAGCCCTGAGCCCTAAACTCCCAAGCCGCCTCTTGCTAGGAGTTCTTCGAGTGGTACTTCTGCTACTTGAAAAGGGTCTCAAAAAAACACTTCCCAAACCCTGCACGACACCCACGAACCCCAAACCCGGGTGGGAAAAACACCTAAACAGAAATCTAAAGCATCTGCAACGGTACAGCCTAAACCGTTCCCCAGGAATGCGGAGTTGGCCTCTGTCCAGCCGGAGCATTGGATCATCCAAAGCCCAGAGATTCAGGCCTATGCGGAATGCCTTTGCACCTTGACGGCTGCAGGTTTGTGGTCGAGGGTGCCGGGTTCTCCTGTTCCAATATGCCATGCCCCAAAGTCTGAACTTGAAGCCATGGGCCGAAAAGGTACCAAGCGAAAGCCGGCACTTGTTTGCGATGCAGAGCACTCGGAGCCGTTGGCGAAGATCCGACCAGAGGTCCAGAGGAAGATGGAGGAGGGTTGTGAGTATTGCCTGTTGCGTGTAGCCTTGTCATGATTATCCGAAAATCCCAGCGACGAAGAACTCGCAACCTGCCCCTAAATACCAAGACAACGCTAAGCCCTCCGAGCCAGTAGGGCTAGTCACCAGGAAGTGGGGCAGCGCTTTCACTCTTTGCTGCAACTGGATCCCAAGCTGAATTGCGGACTGCTTGTATAGGATTCGCTTCCGTGGCTTCGCGGATTTGTGTTTTAACCCTTTCGGAGCTTTCTGGCCTTTGCCGAGCCTTCTCGGAACCGTTCGGGCTTCCCGAAGAAGCACGCCAACCCTCGGCTCCCCAACAGCTTCCATGTATGTCCCCGAAAGGCCATCAGACGTTCCCCGCGAAAGCCGAACCCCTCCACAATCCTTCGGTTCCACAAAAACCTTTTCGGAATGCCCTCTGGCCGAGCCTTAGTCGCCTTAGCCTCGCCCAAGCGTGCATGACTTTACTTGAGCATCCCGTCGCTGCAACTTGGAGAAGCCGTGCCTTTTCTATACACATGAGATTGTGCTTCCGTTCAATTCCTCAACCTCGCCAAAGTGCAATCTGAAAGCCTTCAGGTCCCAGGGTCTGGGGGCTGTTTGAGGTTGAGGCCGTTGAGGCTTGCAGGGTTCGACCTCCAGAGCCCCAGCTCGAGTCCCAGGACACTGGGACCGGGAAGCCCGTCGGGCTTGGCCCCTGCCAAGATTCAAAGGGCAAGACTGAGGCCGTTCCTTGGCGGCAGAAAGGGCCAATGCTTGGGGGTTGACTGGGGGCATGCGGGGCTTGCAGAACTGGAGCTGCCAAGGTGTCTTGCTCCCTCTGTGTGAACGGGAACTGCATCGAGCCGGGAGGCGCCAAGAGTCCTGCAGCAAAACAAGGGTTGGGCTAGTTTTTTGAACCACTGAACGCACGGAGGCTCTTCTTTGGACGTCTTCGCTGCCATCAAGGAGTTGTTGAACATCAAGAGCGCTTGCATGACGGGCACCTGCACACCTTGCATGGGAGTCAAACCCGGTGCTCTTGGCGAGTTTGAAGCTGTTGGCCTTGGGATCTTTGTGATAGGGGTTGGAAAGGCTTTCGTGCTTGGGGCGTCCGTTTTCGTTTGTGCAGAAGCTGTGTGACTCGACTCCGCCTCCAACGTGTTTAAGCTGAGGTGACCCCATTCAGTTCAAGCTAAACCTCGGGGTGGACGGGGCATGCGGCAACCAAGCAGCGCTCCTTTGAAGCGTTAGAAGACAGTTTGGCGCGAGCAAAATCGGAAGCGCGGGCCCGTACCAGTAACATGTCTTGGATGTACTTAAGTTGCCTCCAGGAAAATCTAGCGAGAGATTCCTTCAGTGCCACGAAAGGAAGTGTAGTCTGACAGTTGGGCTAGTTTCGACCCGTCTGAGGTTGTTCAGCTCGTTCAACTTGTTCGCATCAGTCGAGATGTGTATTGGTGGAGTCCTTGGCGAGGCAGCCGATACGATGGGATGGAGCACTTGCAAAGAATTGGGTAGTGTGAATTATTACCCTTTCATCAACAAGCTCCACCTGACGATTAACCTGCCAATTCCGCTACCTATGCCTTTGGGTGTGCGGGCTACGTTGTCGGCCAACTTGAACCTTGGCGACTTGACCGGTGCAGTGACCAACTACTGTGGGACCAAAGGTGCAGCGGGGGAGTACCGCTGTCTGAAAGACATGTACGATGCCCGCGGGGTTACGAGCATAGGCCTCAGCGTGGAAGTGCTCATGGGCATCAGGGTCCCCCTCCTCGGTGAAATTGGCAAATGGGTGCAAGTCCTTTCATTTGGCTTTGCGGAGAAAGATAATTCTAGGAAGCTCGCCATGAACAAGGCTGGTGTCACAATCGTCCACATTGGCCCTTCGCCGCATTCTTCGTACAAGTGCGGCAGGCTGTCACTACAAACTACTTGGGTTGCTTTAAGTTGCTTTCCTTGTCCTGTACACGCAGCTCATGTATGACCATGAAGACGGTATAGGTAGGTTCTCAGGCGGGTAGCATCGGGTGGTTTTGTT